TAATTGGTCTGGTTGATTGCCGCGAACAGGTGGTCGTGGCATCAGCACGTTCAGGAATGGGGATCTCCTTATATGTATTAGGCTCATAATTCTATGGAGGATGGCAATCGTCGTCGCATGGTTGTGAGTGGGTGGATGAAGAGGCTGTCAGTCCTTCCCTGTGGTCTTGCTCAGGGGCGGCCGCGTTGTTATTACTGCCCGCGTTGTTGTGCCCAAAATAGGGGAAGTGAACACTATGGTCATTTTTAAAAGCTTGACTGGCCATGACAATCGGAAGGTTGATAAATATTTGCTTTGATCTTGAGTGAAATACGGGGAAGATGATTTCTCATAGACGGCGCCATTGATCGTACCTGATTAGAAAAGATTGTCCAGGCCCACGAGCTTTAAGTCGAGCAATGGTTAAATGTGAAGTGGAGGGGGTACCTGCAAGACACACTGATGCCAAAGTAAGGTTCAGAGTAGGTGCAAGTAAAGCGTGAAAGTATAGGTGAATGAAAAAGTAGCTGACCCTCTCAAGTGAAAGGGTAATTATATCCCCCAGCACTAGACCAAGTTCCCCATTGTTAGGCTGATCAAGCAGGCCCAAAATGGAGATTATCAGGTCCTACGTGTGTAATGGGGGCTAGCACGTGGTCTCCAACCTGAACGGACTCCTCCGAATCATCAGGAGGACGTGCATGCGGTCTCTTCGGGGTCAAGGGAACTCTGGGATATTCAGAGGCGTTGGATGCTTGCCCTACGAGGAGGGTACTCGCAGGACCTCCTGAGCACTGTTGGCCCTCCTCGCTAGTCATGCGGCGAGATTGTCCCCGGATGACATATCCTGGTCAACGAGAGGAGTGGAATCACTGCCTGACATGGTCAAGGGAAGACTCTCTCTTGATGGTCTTCTCCTGCAGCATAGTTGGATTGGGCCTTATATGATATTTAGACCAGATGTGGACCCAGTCTAGAACAACTTCTCATATATGTAACTCTCTGTAATGAATATAGAAACTCTATTATACGAACCCTTCAGATCATCCTTATCCATATTTAGAATTTTTGCAATTGCAAGATGTGATCAAAATACCAACTCTTGATGCCACTTGTTGGTTGAATATGGACGTAAAATAGTTTAAAAGGGGTGAATAGACTTGTCATTTCTTCAAAAAAAAATCAAAATAGACTTGTGAGCGAAAAGATTTTTAAAAATCGTGTGTAAATATTATGTGATTAGATAAATATATAGTGTAAATCTTAAGGAACTGCAAGTCAATGATGAAATAACTAATAACAATGAAATATTTAATCAGCTTAAATTTAAATAGAGGGGGTTAAATATAATTAGATTAATTGATTTAACATTATAAAATTACAATTCTTCAGTATAATTAGTAGAAAGACAAATTTACCAGACTAGATCTAAACAGATCTACACTTAAACAATAAATCTCTATGAATGAAAAATAAACTTAACATCATACAAACTATTGAAAAATAATAAAATCATCATACAAAATGTAAGCAAAAAATAAAGAGAATGAGTTAGAGACCTAGTACGTCGACATTTTTACTAATTCAATGCTTTATTCTCGCAAGCACCTAGTCTAGTCTCTGATTGTAAACCATAAAAAAATCTTTGTAGTATTCCACTATTAAATATAAAGTATCCTTTTATACAAATGATAAGCATAAGAAAATGTTAAATACCTAGAAATAATGACTAAGTTATGCTGACTAATCCTTAATTCTTCTTTAACAACACACATCTCACAACGTTTTTAAAATCTTCAAGATCCACAATCTTGAGTTAATTCACCTTCACGGTCACAAGCACTCCAAGATCCTATTTCGCAACAATCTTCATTCGATTCTACATGGATTTATCTTGTCTGAGTCTTTGACCTGATAATAGGTTCTAGAAAATCCAAAATCTCTGTGTATGAGACTTCTTCTTTCAATGGAAATCTCTTGCCAAAAATTCAATAACCTGATTTTATATATTGAAAACATTCACAATATTATTAGTACCTCTAATGAATCACTTCACAACAAGAACTCAAACTCTATGTTAGAGTTGAGCAACACTTATACTTGATATTGGTGTTTAATGTTTGAGAAAGAAGATTTTTTGAAAATCTTACACAAACCAAATTTGCACTCAAGAAATTGAATGCGTGATTGATGAATAATAAAAGTTCTCAAATGTTATATATTTAAAATATGAGAGACATAGAGAAGAGCGTTTATGTATGTGCTAGATATTGAACATAAAAATATTGAAAATGGTCATTTGATTCGAGTTAGAGACTTATGATTGAAACGAATCTAATGAGAATGAAGTGAATCAAGTAAGACTATGTATAATGATTTACATATTCAACACTCTTTTTTTCCACCTTTTATACTCCACATCATCTTCTCTTTCTTCCACCTAATAATTCAATACTCATTCAACTTTTACTTACTACAATGATTTTGTTTAATAAAATTCAACACCTTACCTCACCACTTTTATTTCATATTTTTATTTTCTTTTATATTTTTGTTTTTATAATTTTATATTAATATCAATTATCGATTGAAATAAAATTAAAATAATTAAGAGTTAAATAATTTATTTTAATTTTTTCTAATTTAATAATTTATTTGAATTTTTTTTCTAATTTTATATTCTTAATTTATTTAAATTTTTTTCTAATTTTATAAGGATAATCATTATTAAAATAAATAAAAGTGGATAAAACAAGAGTTTATTGAAGGTTAAATAGAAAAAATAGAGAGAAAAAATGGATTTTTTGTGTGTGTCCAAATCAAATGAACCAAATCTCTATTTATAGACAAAAAAATGAATTTTGGTGAAAATAAAAATAAATGAAAAATTGATTTATTATAAAATAATTGATTCCAAATAATTAAAGTGAATTAAAAATATAAACAATCACAATAACCAATAAGATTTTGTAAAGTATTATATGTGGCTTCACTCTATTCTCATTCAATATGTTGAATATTTTCAAGATCAATTAATCCACCTCACTTTGAATTCTTTATTCAACATCTCGTTGCATCTATTCAACTATTAAATAATTTTTTCAACACCCCATTATACACCGTCTAAATGAAAAACTTATTATTTCGTTCAGAGGTGCAAATCATGATTTGAGTCATGTGATTCGAACCACACTCAACCATGATCCATAGCATGTTTCCAAAACTGATTCAAAAAACAAACAATTCATTCATGTTTCGGATCAAGTCAATTTATGACCTGAATAACATTTCCAGAAACAAAATTTCAATTTCACATTCTTGCTCATGATTCGGATCAAGCATTCTCATTATTTAAATCATGTTTCTCGACCAACTTTTAGGAAATAAAAAAATTTCGTGATTCAAATCAAAGTTTTGCATGATTCAAATATTGCTTGTCATACATTTTTTATCTGAATCACAAACTTCATTATTCAGATCAACCTACTTTAACTTTTGGTCAAATTAATATCTATACACTAAAAAAGTTTTTTTGAGTGAAAAATAATTATTTATAAAAAAAAAATTAAATATATTTTTAGTCTTTATATATAAATGAATTTCAATTTTAATTCTTATAAAAATTATTTTCGAATAATAATCTTTTTAAAATTTTTGATACACACTTTTAATTTATATTGTCTATTCTCTAACGGAATATGATATGACACTGCCAAAAAAAAATTTGGGGTTATAAATTTTCCTAAATAACGTGTTTTACATGAAAGCATCCCACCAATAACCATAACTATGACTTCTATTTCCACATCCCTCGAGTAGTGTTTGAAAAGTTACCGTTGATTGTATGCAATTGTGGTGTTTGCTAACAAAAATAACAAACATAAAACCTAACCAATTCTTAACTGTTTCCCAACCGGGCAAAACAGACTAACAGGTAGAACAAACCGAACCCGTTATTAACGGGCCGTTAAGTAGGTTTAGTAATGTTTCTAAATTTAAAGTTTCAAATAAAGTTCTTTCAACTTTCAGTCGGTATTAAATAAAATCAAAACTTTTCCCCTCGAGATATTTACAAAATTAAATTTGTGGACCAAAATCATGATAAGAGTTCTGAACTAGTAAGATTTGCTTTTTGTCCCCAGAAAAAGGGTTGATGAAAGCCAAGTGCGTCAAAAGCCAAATGCAATACGACAAGCTTTACAAAAAGCTTTTTCTTAGTGCTCTACATTCATAAACTCACTATTTCATCATGTTCTAAGAATCTTAATCACAAAGGCATCAATACTATTACTATGTTGTATTTATGGAACTATTTCTTTTTTGCATTATAGAAATAATTTACACAAACATCTTGTCTCTCAAAAAATACTGATAAAACAGACGTATTACAACGGACTATAAATCCTTTAAAAAATACAAACGAACTATAAATCCTTTAAAAAATACAGATAAAATAGACGTATTACGACAGATTGTTTTACCACATTAATCACACTTATATAGAGATTAAGGTCACGCCTGTTTGTCAATGCAAATCTATATTGATAAATTCTAGGAAAATCCATCTATAAAGCAATGTCATTTGGATGCTACAAGTGGCACAAACAGAATAACAACATTTAAGTATAGCTTAATTAGCTCATCTAAGCTTCAACTAGATTGGACCCACTAAAACACTACTATCACTATAGCTAATAGGAAAAATCAAATTCACCAAAATATATATATATTTGATATGTAACTTGAAAATTGACAGTTTATACTATTAACCTCTCTACATAGTTTGTAATTTGATCAATGGAATGTTTAAATCTTACAACTCAATAGACCATATAACAAAAAATATCAGAAAAATATTGGATCAACTTCTATAGTATATTCTTTAGGGGACTATTTTTCCCATCAGTTTTACAAATTGTTATCTAAACAAAAAACTCTAAAATTCAAAAAAAAATTATCAAATGAATTAACTGTTGAGAGAGTTTTAAGAGTGAACACTGACAGAATTTCTAAAATTGCATTCAATGCACAGTTTGTTCTTGATCCTTGTACAATTGCTCCAACCAAGCTGGAATCGCGTCTGTTCCGTTGTTAAGATTGTATTGCAGTTTCCGTTTCTGATTTTCATCGATAATCCGGCTAGATTCCTGCGGGGTAGCGTCCTTCACAAGCGAATTAACCCAAGAGACGTCTGGTTCATTGTCATTTTCCGGTGTAGTTAAAGGAGTATTGCTGCTTCGAAATCCAAAAGAAGACGATTTCCTCAGCTTGTAAAGTTCTTCACCTTGTATGGTCCAATCCAGTTTTCCGTCGGGTGATCCCCAGTTGGAAAAGGCGTAAGGATTGACAGGAGAAAGAAGCTCGGAATGACGGTTTGCCATGCTGCGTTCGATAAAGCTCTGGCTCTTCCTGGAAAAGGCGGCAGCTCTTGAATTCAAAGCCGCTGCAGATAACTCCCCGGAAGGATCAAATCTAGTCGGGGATCCAATCACACTGGAAGAGTAGTTCTGCTGATTCATATTTGGACACATTGGGATTCCGGTTGGAGATTGTAACTGAGTTCCTGCAGCTTCAAGTGACATTCCATGGAATTTATGCAATATTGATGGATCAAGTGATCCGAAAATGTTTTCGAGGTTAGTAGGCTTCACACCCGAAAACTTATTTAGTTCGCCAGTAGTATGATCGTTCAAAGAAACCGGAAAAGATGAACTGTTAGGCATGGAATTTTTCCAGTTGGAAGGCGAGGAAAGACCGGATATCTCATCCATCATTAGTTGCTGGTTTCGCCGCTGAGTTTCAGCCCTAAGCATTGCAATATCTGAATCAATGTCTCTAGCAGTTATTGCCGAATTCAACCTGCTTCGGGGAAGCTGAAGGGTAGGGACCGAAACATTAGATTGTACCTGCCACATAGCTGCCGCAGAAACAGGAGAAGACGCTCCGGATGGAGTCAAAGGCGGTGTTGACGAGGGCGGCATCAAACCAGACGGAGAACCAAGCGTGGTAGGGCTAAGAGAACTCATCTCTAATGCAGAAGCACTGCTGTAATATGATCTTGGAGATGGAATAGCAGAACCGGTAGAAGCATACAAGGGGCGAAGCTCCTCAACCCTGTGAGCAAAGAAGCAAACTCTTCTTGTGCACGAGCCCTCATCCTTGCAAAGACGTGTCCGATATTGCGCAGGATGAAGCCAGCACTCAAAAATACCATGAGCATAATCACACGAATCCCCTTTGCTACACGATCCTTTGCGAAACTCAGGACAAGGAACACAGCTATAAGGATATTTCTTCGGATCGCGTCGCCTTGCGTTTTCCCCCGGATGAACAAAAGGACACTCGGTCCAATCATGAGAATACGCCCTTGAACAAGGCTTCACTTTGAATGTATACATCCTAAACTCATCGGTACTATATATTCCGTTCTTTATGTCAGGAAGAGAAAGATCAACAAGATAATCTTTCGAAAAACGAGGCGAGTTTAAAGCTTGCCTTTCATATTCATCAAAACCGTCAATTGTCTCCGGAAATATAAGACATGTCTGCTCAGCGCCGCCCGTACCCTCAAGAAGAACTTGCAGCATCCTCTTCCTCGAATCAAACATAGACTTCCCAACCGAGACAATCAAGTCAACGGGCCGCTTACCGTTCACATCTACAGCACCAGCATCCGCCGATGCATCAAGCAAAAGCTTAACAATCTCGGCCGAAGCAGCAGAACCCCCAGCAACAGCACAATGAAGAGCAGTGGCGCCATCTGATCCACTACCCCGATTAACATCAACACAATCCGTTCCAAGAATATACGCCGAAACATTCAAGCTTCCAAACATAGCAGCAACCATAAGAGGAGTCCTCTCAACATAACCCAATTTGTTCGAACCAACCCTTCTCCCATACCACAAGCCAGCCTCATCAACATCACAACCCTCGTTTTCGACGGCGTTTTTGAAACCAATCACATCATCTGCAGCTGAAAATTCAAGCAAAGAATAAACATCCAGACGCCGCCCTTCTTCATTCTCATTCTCATACCCCATACCGCTGCACATGGAAATATGAAATATCTTCACTTAATCTCTCAACAGGATCTGAAAAGCCACACAAGAAAACAGGTTCAAGATTCTATTGAACCAACCATCATATTTTTTTTCAAAGATAAAGCACAGAAAACTCAGTTAAACAGATAAATTCTTGTCATTTTGCGGATGCATGTGATTGTTGATGTAACAAAAAAATTCTAGTTAAGAAAGATGAACAGACATGAAATTGGCAACAACGAGGAGAAACAAGAAATCGTTACAAACAGAAAGAAAAAAAGAAAAAAAAAACCTGTCCTATGTTGTTTTTCCTTCATGAATTAACTAACAAACCAAAACCCAATTATTATTTTTCTGAACATCACATTAAAGATTCAAAGAAACCAATAAAGAACAAATTTTTAAACAAAAATTCAAGAACCCATCATCATGAAGAAGTGAAAAGAACATGCAAGAACAAAAAAATGAACCGTACCTTAAAAAAAACAAAGAGAGAAGAAGCAGAGATTTTTGTTTAGGAAACTATAGGAAAGAAAGTAGGAATGAGAAGGAGGGAGTGGAAGATTTTTCTAATAGTTTTTGGTTTCGGTCAAGAAAAGGGAGCTCACTAGTTTCTTCTTCTTACCAGTTCCATTCTGTTTTTTTGTGGAGAAGTCACCAATTCCATTTATTGTATTAAAAGAAGAGTTAAATATGTTTTTATTTTTATTTTTATATATATTTCAATTTTTATTTTTTATTTTTATTAAAAAATAATATATTTTATTCCCTATAAAAATTTTATTTATACAGTTTTAGTTTCTATTATTTTTTTAAATTTTAAAAATAGTTTAATTATTTTTTATTTTTTATTTTTAATTTTTTTAATATTTTTTTCATAAGTGTTTAGAATATTATAAAATATTTATTTATTAAATTTTAGAATTTTCTAAAATTAAAAAAAAAATTGAATTTTTAAAATTTCAAAAGATATTGATAAAAGTAATGAAAATTTCAACTTAGAAATCAAATTTTGAAATTTTTTTAAAATTTTTTTATAACGTTTTAAAATCGTAAAATAATCATTCAAAAATACATATCTATTTAACATAAGGACTAAAACTACGTGCATAATAATTTTGTAAGAACAAAAACATGTTAATTTTTTATAGGAACCAAAAATAAAATTTAATGATTTATAAAGATCAAAAACATATTTAACTCTTAAAAAAATAATAAAATGTATAGTCTTTCATTTTCCAAAAAAATTGGTCCTAGTGTTTTTTTTTTACAATTTAAAAAACTATAAATATTACAATTTTATAATTTTGGAACAAGTCCTAGTAATCTAGAAGTCGTGTTGAGAGGTATGTGTATTGATCGAGTATTATTTCTACTTAGAAATCAAATTCGATATTTTTCAGATTATATTTTTAACGGGAGTTCTTTTATCATTGGAGTCCAAATACTTATTAAATTTTATAATTATTCTGATGGAGTATTAGTTACTTTCTCCTATCTTTAATATTGAAAAAATTATTTTTTAAATTCATTTATATATATATATATATATATATATATATATATATATATATATATATATATATATATATATATATATATATATATATATATATATATATATATATATATATATATATATATATATATATATATATATATATATATATATATATATATATATATATATATATATATATTACTAGTATTACTTAAAAATCGTACTATAGTTTTATTAATAAGGTCCTAAATGTAAGGTAAATTAGAGCGATTTGAAAAGGATATAGTCAATATTATTTAAAAAATAGAATTAAAAAATGCATTTAATTGTATATAAATAAAGATATTTATTTTAAAAGAGAGAGTATGTCATAAATTTTTTTTTGTGTATCGTATAAAATTTTATCTCTTAAAAATAAATAATAGTCTCATTGTTTGAAATTTGAGACTAAAGATAATGTATATACAGTCATACATCTTAATCTAATGAAACGTTTTTTTAATTAACAAAATCCTAAGAAATCTCACACTAAGACGGATAATACCTCGTAGTCGTAGTGACATGAATAAAAACAACTAATTATAAAGTGGTAATCTCGTAGTCGTATTTGACTTAAATAGAAAATGTGAGGGGAGCAAAAGTAGTTAGAACGTGAAATTAAGAGAAAATGGCGAGGAAACTTAGGAGAGCTCTTGGGAGGGAAGAACGCCATAGCCAAAAAGCTTTTATTGCTATTGGAAAATTGAGGTAAGGGAGATTACTCATCTATGGATGTCAATTGTAAGAAGGGTAGAGAAGGATCCTCACCTTCTTCTTCGTTTTCTATGTTTTTCTCCATAGTTGAGCTTTATATGTTATGAATGAGGTTTATGTGAAAACTATCTTATTTGATGTAATTGATATGAAATTCCTGCGCTAAATTATAGTGAATTTCGTGCATGATTGATATGTGTAAATCTGGATATTGTTGTTCATGTTAATAGGTTTTGAGTATGATGAACATGTTGTTAAAATTGTGTTAAATGGATAACTAAGTTATTAATATGTGGGTAATTGATGTAATAAACTTAGCATAAAGTATACATGTTGATTTTTGTGCGATTTGAGTGGTTTGGGGCTGAAATCTGAGCTTTGGAAGATCTCCAATGATGAAATATTGCATTTTTAGATTTTGGTGTTCTAAGAGACCGCGCTTAGATAGCTAGAGTTGCGCTTAGCGAGCTAAATATGCGCTTAGTGAGCTAGAGATGTGCTTAGCAAGCAGTGTAAGTGGTTGGTGTTTTTGGATTGATTTTTCAAGCTATTTCTGATTCCATCGATCATTGGTTGTTGTTTTGTTGTGTTTGATGAGTTGTATGAATATTATATGGAGGTATGAGTATGTGGTGATGAATACTTGTATTATTTTATATTGATAAGTTATGGTTATATATCATACTTGTTATGTTAAGATGGTGGCCTTATAATGGGCAATGTTTACGGTTCAAAGAGGAACCAATGGTGATTGTGGCAGATGTTTGTTGTTGCATATCATACATCATGTGTTTCGGTGATAGACACGTGGAACTCAGTCTAGTGACACATCTAGGTTTAGAAGAGGGGACCAGTGACGAGTCGGGGTTCGAAGGCGAACCATTAGCGAGTGACAAAATCAGTAACATAACTCTGATGTCCAGAATTTGTACCACATGCATTGGAGTTGAAGTGTTGGTCACATTGCATACATATTAGCATTGTGAGTTGAATATTGTTGTTTTGTATAAGTTATGTGTTCAATGGTTAGATTGAATATGCTACCCTTGCTATCTTTTGCACCACTAACATATTTTAAGGGTATTCTCACGCTTGTTTGCTTTGTTTGTGGTGTATGTACGCTTGGAGTACAGATAATCAGGTAGATGAGTTATTTCTATTTGAGTTGGAGGATGGCGTTGAGGCCTCTTCATTTATTTATTGTTTTCTGCATTATTTAGTTTTTGCTGAAACTCTTATCTGTAACACTAGGAAGAGATTTTGTTATTTGTTTTGTGTCTTTGAAGTTTGAGTTATTTAATTATATGAAGTAATTCATTTTAATTGAGACAACCAAATATGATTAATAATTGATGTAAGTTCTGTGATTTTGAGATTCGCAGCAATTTTGTTAAAACAAATATCACAACAAGATGTCAAGAAAGATGTCCTGACATGTTGGTCAGACATCATTGATGGTCAACACGATGTCATAATGTCTATCGTGACATGGTATACCAGGTGTTAGGGTTTTAGGTTTATTGGAAGATTTGTTTTTAAAAGTGTGAGATTCTATTTTGTTTTTATTCACACTCTGACGCATTCCAAGGATGGATATTTTAGGAACATTTGTTATGTTCCAGAAGTGCATTTATTTCATAAAAATGATCTTTGATACTTTTTAGGAAACTTCCTGATTTGTTTTTATTTTCATGCAAAAGATTATGCAGATGATTTGTAGTTGTTGTTATGGGAGATGCATTTTATTTAGATAAAGAGCCCAATCCCATGCTGATATGAAGACGATTTAAAAGGGCATTCTAAACCTAATGCAGGGGAGAAGTTTTGCGATCAAATAAGTATTAGTGTTTTAGGTTGTTCATTGTTTATTGTTTATTGTGAGCCACTCTCTTATCACCTAAATATTGGAGCTGGACTGAGTTTGAGTTGTAATTGTCAATCATTCATAAGCTTTTAAGAAAGAGTGGATTTTGTGACAAGTTATTTTTGTTAATCAGCATAAGCTTTTAAGTAGAGCTGATTATGTGTCTTTGAAGAGTGTATTCATCTTTCTATTATCATTGTTGTTTGTCACTGGTTGTGTGATTGAAGGGAAGTGAGAGGGGTCTCATATCATGAGTGTCTTAGATAGAAATAGTACGAATAGTGATTAGGTGGGAAGATTGTAAACCAAAGGTTGTTTACTTAGGCTTCAAACTAATACCATTTTAGTGGATTTCTTTCCTGGATTGGATGTCCCCAGATGTAGGTGATGTTGCACCGAACTGAGTTAACAATTATCAATGTTATTTACTTTCAGCAATTTACCTTTTTTGCATAACTGTTCTTATTGTTGTGACTGATTTGATATCAGTGACATGACATCTGGTTCGACATCTAGTATCTGTATACCAGAATTTCAATTGGAATCAGAGCATGCACCCTGTTCTGTTTTGGATGAGCTCCAACGAAGATACTTTCTCGTACCATAGACAAGGAAGGAGGATTCACTAACATACCACCAGTCTTATATGGAACCAAGTATGACTATTGGAAGGCTCGTATGGTGGCATTCCTAAAATCTATGGATAGCAAAACTTGGAAAGTTGTCATAAAGGGTTGGGACCATTATGTTGTGAAGGACAAATATGGAAAGGAAAATTTGAAGCCAGAAGAGGACTGGTCTAAATATGAAGATGAAATTACTCTTGGAAATTCTAAAGCTTTGAATGCCCTATTCAATGGAGTTGACAAAAGAATATCCAGGTTAATAAACACC